CTTGGTGTTATCACCACCATGCTGTACCAACTGAGCTAACCAACCAGCCCCAAATTTTACAATTTAAACTTAATCTAAACAAAATTAAAAATTTATTCTATTTTATTTATTTATTTCAACTTGAAAGCAGTGTTTATTAACTGACCAGAGCACAAAACAATCATGGCAGACACCTCAGTTCATCCCTCTAACAAGCCCGTTGATCTGGTCTTCCCTGTTCACCTTTTATAGCATGTTCACCTTCTACAAAACGGGTGGTCTTTTTTTTGTTCTGCCTTGTGGAGAAGATAGTGTGAAGGGCCACAGGAAGTTCCTTGCTTCTTTGAAGCTATTTCCAACAGTATAGATCTCATGAATCAGATCCTCCACGCAGATGATGCTGTATTTACCAAGAGATCAATCAATCAAAGTGTTACCTGTCGAGGAAGTTTGTTTCTTATTGATTTTGCCATAACCACACTTGTAGATTGGTTCATTTACTGATTTTGGTTCCGGTACCCCATGCAATGTATGGTTCCACAATCTTCAGCATGTTCACTTAATCCTTGTTGAGCTTAACATGGGTGCCATTGAAGATCTGAAGAAGGCAGAGAAGCTGCAACACCTTTGGACCTTTGGGCTCACACCATTGATGCCTTTGATACTGATGACAAACATCAATTTGGGTTCTGCAGGTACGTGGAAGTGGCCAGCTCTTCTTGCCATCCCAGCCATTCCAATCTCAGTTCTGTGCACCTGCCTATATTCCTTGTGATAGTGCTTACCTTTCATAGATAAGCTTCCTCCTCACCTTTCAAAGCATCTTTTGGGCAAACTTCTTTCTCAGGCATTTGATCTCCAGCTCTGTGAAATTCCTTTGCTTTTTCTTAAGGGTTTCTGCCACAGCAGGAACCTTCTTTCTTCTCTTCAATGCCTTCCATGATTCCAGAAAAAAGGGAAAATTAAAATTTAAATGTCTTTTATTTTGTAGAGACTGTCATGGGTTGTCACTGTGATTCCATAAAGGTATTAAATAAACCATTTCTAATAGTTCCTGCAATGTACATAATTTTAGTTTTAAATTTAAATTGTGGGGTTTTTGAGTTCTGGTCAAGATGGCAGAATAGACGGTCCCCAGTGTCACTCTCTCCCACAAATCAACTAATTTACAACTATAACAATGTAACATCAACCATGCTGGGACTGCTGGAGCTCAGGGGAAGAGAAGGAGAGACCTACAGAGTTCATGAAGGGGAAGAAACCACAATGAGAGAAAGAAAAAACTGCTGGGAACATTTTGGGCCATGGCTGCTTTAAGGCGGGAGCTGCTGAGCACATGGAGCAGGAGCCAGCAGAAGCCGCAGCTCTGCCCTTCAGATGGAGTTACTTGGAGGTGGCAGGGGAGAAGAGGGCCTTGGTGGCCCCCAGGACAGCAAGACCACGGATAGAGTTCCTGTGGACCCACACAGGAGCAAGGAGCCACAACAACTGAAAAAAGGGGAGCCATTCAGAGGTCGGTGAGTCAACACAAGGGACCGGTGCAGGGCCCATGCCATGGGAAGTGTTTGGAGCATGGGCGGTGGGGGAGACATGCCCACCAGGAGAACACTGGTACACAGCAAGGACAGCCAATCTGCCCCCCAATCAGCACAGGACCACTCAGAGGAGACTAGTTGGGAATGCAGAATTGCATGGGGTACAGTTTGATGAAAAAACTCAAGCCCAGATCAGAGTTTCTGCACAACTCAGATCCCCTGGGTCTCTGGAGAGCTGAAAGTACCTATAAGGTCAACCATAAACCCTGAGTTGCACGAAAAGCCTTCCCTAGGGAAATAGCAGCAAAGCAGCAATTTAGTTCAACCACATAGCTCAAGTACTGGTTCCCACAGGAAGTTCCCCCATTTTAGAAGTAAGCAAAGGACAAAAAATTAGTTCCGGCCCAGCCACACCACCAGTGCCTTGGGACCTGCCTGGGAACCGGAGATTTGGAACTGGGAACCAGACACCATTTCCACAACCAGGCACACCCCACCAGTGCCTCGGGGCCCACCCAGGAACCCAAGGCATGGAGAAGAGGACCAGACCCCCCTTCCCACAACCAGGCACACCATGCCAGCATGTTGGGCCTGCCCAAGAACCCAAGGTATGGAGCTGGGGACCAGACCCCCCTCCTACAACCAGGAACACTGTGCCACACCTCAGGGCCCTGCTGGGAACCCAAGGCATGGAGAAGGGGACTGGACCACCCTCCCACAACCGGGCACACAGCGCTAGTGCCTTGAGGCCCACCCGGGGACCCAAGGTTTGGAGCCGGGGACCAGACCCCTCTTCCCACAACCTGGCACACTGCCAGCACCAAGGAGCATGCCAAAAACATCACCTCCATGTGGGTGGCCCACCACAGCCACCACAAAACCATGTCTGCCACGAAAGCAGCTAGATGCCACAACCACCATGCAGATGGTTCACCAGCCACTGGAGTGCGCTGACACAAGGAGAGTCACCAGCAGAGATAAAGAAAAGAAGAGGATGTCTCTCTCCACAAAGCCCATTTCAGAGTGACAGAAGAAGCATCTGCTCTGTGATAATATTGGGGGACCTGATCACACCTCTCAGCGTTGGACAGATCATCTAGGCAACAAATCAACACAATAACCATTATTCTTTCAGAGGGAGAAAAGAAATCTAGGGTAATTAGAGGGGGGAGGGGGGAGGAAAGGGGATGGGGAGAGATTGGACAAGGGGCATAAAGAATAATGATTTGTAACAATATATGTGCTAGTAATATTAATTTGATGAACATATCTCAATGTTGAACCCTCAAAATACATATAATCAATTTTGATTCAATAAAAAAATAAATTAAAGTAAATTTTTTAAGAATGGTGGGTTTGTTTTTTTTTTCTATTTTCCACACTGGCCCTCCCCTATCAACTAATCACATGTTAATAAGAACATTCCATGCACAAGTTTCTGTCTCCAGCTTTGAAAACTGGTTTTATCAGATCAGATGAACTATTGGTTTACTCTGGGAATCAGTGATGAAAAAGGTTTCTTAACAGTCTGCTGAGCTGTGCATCATATTCAGTCTCTCACTACTCACCCTCCTATGCAGTCCCATAGAGAGATGCATCCGAAACAACTAAATTAAAACTTACTGGAGAATCAAGAGCAAAAATTGAGAGCTATGCCACAGAGTGATTTGACAAAAATCCAACCAGATTTACAGGTCCTTGTTGGAGCAGGGTTTTAAAAATATAGCATTCAATATGGAACCTTTCAATTATAGCACATTGGTCTAAGTTAAATGACCAGTTCGAAGTATGTGAAGGGCCGGCCTGTGGCTCACTCAGGAGAGTGTGGTGTTGATAACACCAAGGCCACGGGTTCGGATCCTATATAGGGATGGCCAGTTTGGTCACTGGCTGAGCGTGGTGCTGACAACACTAAGTCAGGGGTTAAGATCCCCTTACCGGTCATCTTTAAAAGAAAAAAAAAAAAGTATGTGAGCTCAGAGCTTACATGGAATTAATCAAAGAAGCAGAAGAAACACAGGACGAGGACCCCGAGGTAGGAGCACAATTGCCATCATGTTTGAAAAAAAGGAAGAAAGCCCCAAAGAGTATGTGAGCTCAGAGCTTACATGGAATTAATCAAAGAAGCAGAAGAAACACAGGACAAGGACCCCGAGGTAGGAGCACAATTGCCATCATGTTTGAAAAAAAGGAAGAAAGCCCCAAAGGACTGGAGCTACAGTGGGAACTGGTAGGGGACGAGGTGGGTGACAGCTACATTATCAGGGGTTGTCACCATATTGAGGAGTTTAGATTTATTCTAAGGGTGACAGAAAGCTATTGAAGGGTTTTAAGCTTTTTAAACAGGACTGCAACAAGCTGTGAATTACATTTTTTTTTTTTGTCCTTTTTGAGGCCGGCGGCACTGCACTCAGCCAGTGAGCGCTGTGAGCGCACCAGTCATCCCTATATAGGATCCGAATCCGCGGCGGGAGCGCTCCCAGCGCCGCACTCTCCCGAGTGCGCCACGGGCCTGTGAATTATTTTTTAACAAGATCACTTAGGCTGTGTGTGGAGAATGCATTGGAAGGAATCAAGGGCAGGCACCAGCTACCCAGACAATCTAAGGAGCTAATGGCTATGGCTTGGGCTAGAAAGTTGCCACAGATACAAAGAGCAGTAGATGAGTTTATGATACATTTTGGGTGATGAATTAACAGAATTTACTGATGGATTGGCTGATGGATGGGAGGGAGTGAGGTTAGAACAGCTGAAATGACAAGGATGCCCTTGGGAGAAAGACGGAGACAATTCGTTTTTGAGGGGAAGATCGAGTTAGTCCACCCCAATTCTGGTGAC